TTGTCTTTTTGCAAATGTCTAGACTTTGCTCCAAAGTACAATTCATGCAAGCTGCGAATATTCCGTTCATTTCTTTGAGCTTTTGGTCAGCACTTTTGGCGACTGGATCATATTTTGGTCCCTGATGTGACTATGGTAAAGAAGTAATTTGTGATGTTGTAGTTAGTTATATTCTTCAAATAAATTTAGATTTTACAAAATTTTAAAAAAAAAATGCAAAACTTAATAAATTATAATTTATGCATCACAATATAATATTATTATATTTTTAGTTGTTATAAGGGAATGTAATTATAATGTTACTTAGGGGTGTAAATGAATCAAATCGAGTTCGAATTAGAGCTAACTCGAGCTTAATTTGCCTATTCAATGGCATGTTTGCTCACATATTCAAACTTGAGTTGAGGTCTTATGGCAAGTTCAAGATCGGCTCGTTGAATAAATAACGACTCAAGTTAACTAATGAGGTCAAGGTTTGCACACATATTCAAACTTGAGTTGGGGTCTTATGGCAAGTTCAAGATCGGCTCATTTAATAAATAGTGGCTCAAGTTAACTAATGAGGTCAAGCCAAAGTTGCGATGGAAACTCGCTGGAGAAGGATAAGAGCCTGATGAAGATGAAATTGATGGGGGATCACTAAGTAGTGGCTTTGTGGGAAGTCACGATCGAAGCTCTTTGGAGCAGGTATAAACTACAGTCCCGAGGTGAGCTCAATGGAAAAGGCATTGTGGGACAAACCTTAGAGAAGTTGTGATGGGAGCTAAAGAAGGTAATGACAAGGCCATTACTATTAATGATGTTGTAGCCAACAATGTATTGATGTTGTTTATTGTTAGTAATATTACTATTCCTAATGATATTGATCATTGTTACTAATACGGATAACTGCTACTGATATTGTAGATTGTGATATGATGTGTTATAAAATCACATATAGGGGTTTGTGAGTCTACTCTGATCTATACAATTTCCTGAGCTGGCCCAACAAACAAATCATAGAATTTGGCCTTTGATTCTCTCTCCTTCCTTTCTCGTTCCTCTTCTCCTTTTCCTTTCCCTTGTTTCTTCTCCGGCAAGCAGCTAGGGTAAATGTAATGGCTAATGGCTTTAGATATTTTAAGATTAAATTTTACCAACTTTTGAAATAGCACCACGATAATCGTTTACCCAGCACTACATCTGGAGAATCTTCTAGATGTTCTTAGAATATGCTCACCTAAGATTTGACGTCACAGTGATGCTTCCCCAGCACCGTGGTGCACGGTTAAGCCTATTTTTCTATTCAAAAACTCAATAGCTCGAAGCTGGGGCGCCACCAACCTTATTGTCACGACGCTCGCATAATAATTTTTCAAACCTTGTATTTTCACTTTTTCAACCCCATGAATTCGTTACTCTCCATCCCATTTAACATTATAAGACTCACAATTACTAATTAATTTACATTAATGATTATTAACGTAAAGTTACCTAGATTTGACTAGAGATATTACATTCTCCCCTTCTTATCCTATCTAGATTTTACATACTTTCATTTTAAAATTATTTTCACAAAATTCATATCATTATATGGCTTAATCTTCTTCCTCATAAAAATGAGATAGGGTGACGGCGTAGGCTTTCATGGACATCAATAAATGACAGATTTCAAACATCATTCTTTAATAAATGAAGAATGATAATCAACATCAAAGGTTTAATAACGTCGAACAATCTGGCTCTATTGCTTTCTAATAAAATGGGAGGTCGATTAATCAGAAATATTTGTATCAAATGTCATTCACTATCAAGCATTGAACGTTAATAATCGACCGGCAAAGGTACGTGATGACAATGATAAACATTGATGGCATTCGATGGATGACGTCTAGCGATGATGAAGTCAGGTGTCAGCATTGACTAATGAGTTAAGGTTACAATAACAGGTGTTGTCGGTGGTGTTGATCAATAACGAGCATTCGATGGTAGCAATGTCATTATCTTCTCTCCATCAAAATCCTTCAATTTGTAGGAACATGCTTCTAGTTATAGATTTTGAGAAAAGCTATTATGATCATTACAACACTCTAAATCAATTAGAATATTAATTGCCCACTAATTAAGCTATCTATTACTGTAACCAACATACATTGTCGGAGGAATTTAATGAACAACAGCCAGGGGCAAATATGTAATTTAGTTCAAAGGTGGCGTGCTCCCACGAGTAATAATAAAAGCTTCTGCATTCCATGAGAAGGTCATAGGCCAAAGTCGTCGGGTAGTTATTACTCTCTCTCTCTCTCTCTCTCTCTCTCTCTCTCTATTTCTTTGCTTTATGGTACCCTCAGTGACACGTATTAATTATATATATAATAGTAATTAGATGGCATATAAATATATTATTAACATTTTATTTTTGATATATTTTGCAAATCAAAACTAACAATTAAACTATTCATATATGTAATTGCAAATGAAAAAATATCACATATTTTATGAAAAAAAAAATATTTTAAGATGTCTTAATGAAGTTTTAAATTAGGTTGAGCTTGAAAATAATTTGATTTATTTTAAGATTACTGAATATAAATAATTAATTATGGTTCTTATTTTAAAGCAAATTCATAACAACCATCCTGCCTAAAATTATGTTAAAATATCCTAATATTTTTTTTTGTTTGAAATTGAGGAAAGAGAATTCGTAGAATAAAACTCAAGTTCAAGCTTAAGTAGTCAAATAGTAGCTAACTCTTAATAAACTCTTAAACCAAGATTGATTAGTCAACTCTTTTCTTATATTAATCATTTTATTGATTATCAATTATTTTTCTTCAATTTTTTTAATTTCATTATAAGGATTATTTCAATCATAAGCATTTTCTCTATTTCATATTAAACGAACCAGCTCGAACTCGTAGAATCAAGCTTGAACTAGATTAATTAATCAAGTCTAGCTTAAGTTAGGGGTGACTCAAGCTCGACTTCTTGTTTACATTAGGGGTGTCAATTTCAAGTTTCGCGTCGGGTTCAGGTCGAATTTGGAAATGATCTGGGTTCAAATAGGTTGACCCGAACCTAACTCAATTTTTACAAACGGGTCGAAAACACGAACCCCGGACCCAACCCGTTGGGTTATAGGGCTGATAGACCCAACAATATTTTGTAAACTCGGGACACCTTATGCACGGACATACGAGTCTAGCGTCAACTGCAGGATAGTGGGAATGGCGACTGGCGATCGATGGCGCTCTCAATGTAGGCAGTGGCACGACACGATTGTAACGTTGTCGAAGGAGGCGTTGGAAGACAGACTGGTGTGCGGGACAATAAGGTGAGGCATCGCCTACAATGACAAGTAGGCAACCACAATCACTCGGTCAGGGCGGTATGCAAGATAGGCATGCCAGTGCAAACGTGGACGAGACGACGACATTCGATGTGAATGGGACTCGACGCGAGTTGTCATGGCACTCACATTAGGAGCGAGTATTCGACGCGACTTGCTAGAACAGGATGGGATGTGACTCGGGCGTTTTTCCCGTGTTAACCCAGTTTGAGTTCGGGTCGCTAGGTTAACCTGAACATGCCCTGTTTTTTAAAACGGGTCAAATCCGGGAACCCAAACCGACCCATTTTGAAATCATGTCGGATTCGATCGAGTTGTGTTTTCATGTTGTGCCAACTATTGACACCCCTAGTTTACACCCCTATTTATGATTGTGTCCTATGCTAGTGGGGTTGATGCACTAATTACGAAATAAGTATGTGGTGAAATGCAAAAAAAGCTAGTCAATGTCTTGGTGAGATTTAGATTAGAAGAGAGAGAGAGAGAGTGATGTGGACAATTTGGTAGGTGCATGTTGCAAAGAGGAGAAATTATTATGTGCGGAGTTCGAATATAGCTATACATCCGGACTTTAATAAAAATCGTGACATGTGGGCTTGTACATAATGTGTACAAACATGCGTGTCACGATTTCATTAGAGTCTTGACGTGGATCTACATCTGGACTATGCATGTAATCATTTCTCCACAAAGAGAGGGAAAACCCAGTTGGAGATTATATTATATAGTTTATTGAGAAAATTTTTGGGGTGAGAAATTATGATTAAAATGTAAAAAATAAGGAGAAAATTATTCCAAATAAATTTGATAACTTTTAACTTTTTTTCAACAATTTATTTTTATGTATTTATTTTATATATTAACACAAAAAATATAGAGAGAGAAAGCTTAAGGACATATTTGACTATGGGTGCAAACGAGTCGAGCTCGACCTAAAGTCAGAGGGTGTTCGAGTCAAGCTCGACTGTCAAATAACAAGCACATTAAACTAGAGTTGAGCTCAAAAGTAGAGCTCGACCTCAACTCGTATCACTTTGAGCGGCTCGTCGAACAGTTCACGAGTCTTCATCCCGAGGTCTAGTCACTTTTGCCGCGTTCACTAGTTCACTCCCGAGGTCGCATCTCGTCTCTCCGAGGTCCAGTTGCATTTGCTAGTTCTACCCAGAGGTCCACTCGAGTTCCTAAGGTTTAATCTTGCCGCTCCGTCCCGAGATCACATCGCGTGTTCCGCAGTCCGCTCCGTCGCGAGGTATGCTCGAACACTGAGTTTTTTTTCTTGCTCGCTAGAGCTCTGATGTCATTTTCCTGCCTGTAGTTCCGCGAGTTGCTCGACAAGCTCACGAGTCGAGCTGGGGGTTGTTAGAGCTCGAGCTCGAGCTCGATAAGCCATCGAGCTTGAGTTCAAGCTCGACTTGTCAAGCATGAGCTAGCTCGCGAGTGGCCTTGACTTTGTTGCACCATTTATTAACTATATATTAAGTTGTTTAGTGTTTAATGTTTATTTATATATTTTATTTTATTTCTCTATTTAAATTAATTTGAGACCAGAAATTATCATTAAAAAAAAAAAGAAGAATAATGTGCGATGAGATATTTATTAAGTTTATTTATTATTTCATTTATTTTCTCCCGAATTTATGTCATTCTCTTTCTTGGTACCTATAAGACTCAATATTTTAAGCGGGGAAGGCATCCTATCAGTGGGTTGGGTTCTGAATAGCGCCGCACCACCGAAAGCGACCGCAGAGTCTCTCTCCCACACTGCGCTCGCTCTCTCTGCGCAAGCATTATTCTTGCTCGTTAAGAAGAGAGGAAAACCAGAGAGAGAGAGAGAGAGGTGACTTGACGATATAGTGTGTCAATCTTCTTTTTGGGGTTCTGGAAGGGGAGAGGGAGGTGAGAGTGTAGAGACATTGGAGCCGTGGAATCGGATGGTGGGTGGGAGAGAGTGAAGGAGATTTGTTTCTGGACATTTCAGCTTTAGGTTGGTAGAAATTTGGGATTTTTTAAACGGCAGTTATGAAGTTTATGAAGCTGGGATCGAAGCCAGATTTGTTTCAATCTGAAGGGAACAATGTTAGGTGAGAGCGCTATTTGCTGTTCAGGATTCTTCTTCATCTTCTTCCCAAATTCCTTTTTTTTTTTGAAATTATTTTTGGTTTATTTGAGATGCGTGCGGCTTTGTCTGGAGTTGTCTGGAGCTTTCTGGCATTTGGCGGGTTTCAGTTTTTTTTGGGGGAAAAAATAACATATTTGGTTTTTCTCTTCTTTAATTTCATTCTTTTCTGTTTTCTTTTTTCTTATTTGTAAAAATGGCTTTTTGATAGCGAAAAACAATGTCTAAGTTCTTCCATTCTATGGATTGTTTAAGAACTGCAAATGGAAGCCCTCTTTTTGTTGTGTAAATATTTACAATTTATTCACACAGAAGAAGATTTTTCATGCTTAAAGCTGTTATTTTAGTTAAGCATCCATATATTTTTGTTTTTTTTACTCTTTTCACTGTAATTATTCTTTACCGAGTTGAGAAGCTGTGGATGAGTACCCAAACAGTTTCTACTGTCTCTTGGGTTTCTGTTTCACCATGTGATTTCTGTACATGCCATTCCATTTACTGTTCAATTACCAAAATGTGGACGAGTTCTGTTTATCTTTTATGTTTTCTTTGGTGTTCTTGCTTGTGTTCTTGTTCAACAAAGATGAGGAATCATGGGTTGATTGACCATTTCTATTTCTTCATATAAATTCAAAGAATATAGTCCTCTTATTTACTGTTGAGTCTGATCGACTCTCAACATTTCCTGCTTGGTGAAGCATCAGCATTGGGATGGAAATATTTTTAGAAGCCTCAAACAAGTTGATGGCGACGCTTCCTCAAGTATTTTTTACAATTCTTTGACATTCTATGCATTCGAAAACGATCTTTTTAAGCTACAAACTGTTCTTTACGATCAATTTATGCAAATCTCCTGATTTCTAATGTTGAAAGAAAGAGGGAGAAGGCGTGCATCAGGTCTTACATGCTCAAATAAGACAATGGGGCGCATGCTAGTATGCTGGATCCGCCCATAAGTTGCTTACTATCAGAAGTTAAGAAATTCATGGATTTCTGTAGGGGCTATTTGGTAGCAGGATTTAGGCCGGATTTGAGGCAGATTTCAGCGAAATCCAGCCAAACGGCCTAAAATCCAAAACCAAATCTCACAGCAAATTAAAGCCGCCCTAGATGGAAAATTCCACATTTTTGTGCTAAATCCCGGATTTCCGAAATCCTGCTTTTTGCCGTATTTACGAAATCCTATGGCTCTATTGGCGTGGGAAAGAAGAAACTCCTCTCAAAATTTTCATCCTCCTTAAATCATGCACGGAATAGTCAAACAGTCAGATAGGATTTAACAGGATTTATCATGAATGCTACCAAATAGTTTTCAGGATTTAACCCCCTCAGAATTTCGTAAATCCTCAATATTCGGATTTACGAAATCCTACTTAAATGAAATCTTGTGTGCTACCAAACAGCCCCGTAGTGCAAACTATCAATTCTTACCATCTCTTTGCTGTAAGATTATTTTTTAACATGAGGCTTACTTACAAATAGTGATGTGCTGTTGCAGGTTTGTGTCATCAGAACTGGCAACTGATGTCATTATTATTGTCGATGAAGTCAAGTTCTATTTGCACAAGGTTAGCTCCTTAGTTCTCATCCTGTAAGCTGAGTAACCCTTACTGATTCATATTTTAAAAGAATTTATACCAACTAAACTCCAGTTTGGCAAAACTACTTGTCTACGGAAGTATAAATATCTCTTAGTTTTTAATAGTTAAGCATGATTTTTCTTGTCCCAAAAGAATAAAATCCTCTTATATTTTATATATACTGCCAAATGCCAGAGTTGGCTGCTTCTGAGCTCTAGTTTATCTAAACCATGTGCATTTCTGTGACTACCTAAACGGAAAGGAATGGCTCTTAGTAGAGGTGGGATTGGATTCTATCGAAGCCATTTCAGTATTTTAACTCTACTGTTGAGCTTCTTATGAATGGTTAGAAGCTGGAAGATGGCCATTGTTGTGGGGGCAGGGAATCAAATTTCATCGTTGGCACTTCTCCATCCCACGGTGCTTTTTGATTTTTTCATCATAAGATATACGAATGATGTGACATTGGACAAACTTTGTGTGTTATAAACCATATTATAAGCCCTTTAATGTTCTGAAATTACCATAACAAGATTTTGAAGTTTGTAGCTGAGGAAGTTTAAGTGCCTATTCTCCATGTTGCAGATTCATCGATCTGTACAATTTAACATGTGGGATGATGAGATTGGGCACATTTGTGTGTTTGTAAAAATCCTTTTGTGCTTGTTGATTGTAATCTGCTCAGGCTTAGTTTCATCATTTGGGACAATTTTTTGCTACTATTTTTTCGTTGCTTTCAAGAAAATTTTGTACTAAAAAATTGTTGTAGAAAACAGTAAGAAAACTATCAGGGACAGCTTTTGGTTACTATTTTTTCATTGCTTTAAAGGAACTTTTGTACTGAAAAGCTAATTTAGAAAGCAGTAAGAAAATTATTTTAAATGAAACCTTAATTTATATGTGTGCTTTCTCTCATACTAAAAAATGGGATTATTTATTATATTTATGTTTACTACTTGGAAAACAGTTTTAGAATTTTCTGTTGACAAGCAATTATAAAAAATGCCAATATTAAACCATATGTTACATGACTAATGAACATGCTTAAAAAACTATGAAATTTATTGGGTTCCATCATTTATGTAATTATAAATATACTATTGCTTTGACTCAACAAATTTAGGGTCTCTTTTGGAATAGCTTCAACGTTTTATAAAGTTACTTGTAAAGTTGCTTTGGAGAAAACAGCTTCGCTATTTTTGTTGTAGAAAGGAGCTTTCTACTACAATTTTTTTTTAAAAAACAGTGAGAAATAATAGTCAAATGAAATTATGGCGGTTGTCTATCCACAAATGACCAAATAAGCCCATCAGAACCTTGAAATATTTTGCCTTTTTTCTTCTGATAAATTAATGGCTATCATTTTTTAAAACTGCATCTGGTTTTTCTGGAGCTTTACCATTTTACCTCTGTGGCTTGCTATTGCTTTGTGTGCTCGAACTGTTCTAACTTAACTGGTTTGATATTTTTAGAATTTCTCGTTGAACCTCTGCAATACTCATTTGACATATTTACTCTCATTTTGCATGTTCAACATTAACACTTCTTGAAACCTTAATTTTTTAAATTTTTTACTGCAGTTTCCTCTTCTTTCAAAGAGTTACCGGCTGCAGAGATTGATTCTTGAAGCTAACTGTGAAGACACAGACAAGATTACCATGAATGATTTTCCCGGTGGACCTCGAGCTTTCGAAATATGTGCTAAATTCTGTTATGGAATGACTGTTACTCTCAATGCCTACAACGTCGTCGCGGCCCGATGCGCCGCAGAATACTTGGAAATGACCGAGGATGTCGAAAAAGGAAACTTAATCTACAAAATTGAGGTTTTCTTAAACTCGAGTGTATTGCGCAGTTGGCGAGATTCAATCATTGTTTTGCAAACCACAACTTCCTTGATGCCTTGGTCAGAAGAACTGAAGATTGAGGGAAGATGCATTGATTCCATCGCTTCGAAATCCTCCGCGGATCCTTCTAGTGTTCACTGGTCATACACTTATAACAATAGACCGATAATTTCGGATAATAAGATAACTGAGATTCAGCAAAAGAATTTGGTTCCCAAGGACTGGTGGATTGAGGATATATGCGAGCTAGATGTTGACCTCTATAAGCGTACAATGGTGGCTATAAAATCAAGAGGAAGAATGTCTTCTGATTTGATAATAGAGGCTTTAAAAGCTTATGCAATGAGGTGGTTGCCAGACTCTTATGACACCTTAGTTGCTGATGACTACATTAGAAGAAATAAGTCTCTTGTTGAAACCATCATCTGGCTTTTGCCATCAGATAAGGCTTCTGTATGTTCTTGCAGGTTTTTGTTGAAATTGCTTAAAGTTGTTATTTTGGTTGATTCTGGATGTTTTTTGAAAGAGGAGTTGATGAATAGGATAAGTACACAATTGGATAAAGCAACCGTTAAGGACTTGTTAATACCATCAAGGTCATCAGGTGAAATCTCCTATGATGTTCCTTTAGTGCAAAGCCTAGTTAATCGGTTTATGATGCAAGAGAGAAGTGCTCGGGATTTGGATTATGATGACTGTGAAAATAGAGGAGGATTAGTTTTAGGCCATGCATCTTTACTTAGTGTAGGTAAATTGGTTGATGGCTACCTTGTTGAAATAGGAAGTGATCCGAAGCTTTCGATGTCGAGCTTCGTTGATCTTGTGCAATCACTTCCAGATGCAGCTCGGCCGACGCATGATGGATTATATGCTGCTATTGATATCTTCCTTAAGGTATGCTTTCTTACTGGAAAAAACGTTACTTCGGCTTCGTTTGGGACGGCTTTTTTAATGCTTCTTAAAGCAGCTTTTTAGTATAAAATTTTAATTTTTAAACTGCTTTAAGAAGCAATAAAAAAGCCGTCCTAAACGAAGCCTTCATCTATATTATTGTAATGTGCTTTCTATGATATTTAAACATTTCAATCTTATTTTGATGGCGTCAAAATGCTTACCAAAAATAAACAAATAAATGGAATCTTTGAATTGCACGACCTTTTAATATCATTGATGTTGGCATGAATAAAATTTCCCATTTACAAGCTAATCAACACCCAGTGCAATAACTTATATCAACATGATCCATAAAGTATTGGCTTATATTACTTTCAGGAGCACCCTGAGCTAACAAAAGCAGATAAGAAGAAGCTTTGTTCGTTGTTGGATTTGAAAAAACTCACCCCAGGTGCATCCATCCATGCTGCACAGAATGATCGGCTGCCACTACGGGTTGTGGTTCAAGTCCTCTTCTTTGAGCAGATGAGAGCAGCTTCCACTGCAGGAACTTTAAAAGCTGCAACTAATAGTATACTAAATGGGAGCACAAGATTGACAGGAGAGGTTGAAGAAGAATGGGAAGCGCCAGCCTCAGACAATTGTAAGTCCTTAGAAAAACAGTTAAGGTTCCTAAAAGTTGAGGAAGATGAGAGGCTTAGAAGGGAGACAAAGAATGAGAATGAGAAGGATAACAAGAGCAGATTATTACCATCCAGGTCAAGAAGAATATTGGATAAGTTTTGGGCAGGTAAGGTTCAAGTTGTGCAGAACAACAGGAGCTCTGAAACTTCAGGCAGTTCGCAGAGCCCTCCTACGTCTGCAAATCCCGTGGAGGCGTCCACGACAAAGTCTTCCGGTTCTTCGTCAAGGCACCGTAGGCACTCTGTATCTTAGAACAGTTTTTTATTTTTTATCTTTAATGATTATTTTAACTGATGGTAGATGGATATCAGAGACTTGGAATTCTAGGAAACGAGGGGAGAGTGTTTAGCTCTGGATTGGATTGGTGACTATCTTTTCTCTCCTTTGTTTTTTAGTTCTGTTTTTGGGGCCTTTTGATTGGAATGGGAACAAAATGTAAGCAGGCAGTCGTTAATTTGAATGTGTTTTAGTTCCTAGTAATTGGGAGTAGTTCTTCCTTGTAGGGGTTTGAGCAATCTAGCACCCAACAAACTTCAAGTGGACCATTGAATTCTAATGATTATTGGATTAGTTTCAGAAAAAAATAAGTGCTCAATTGAAAGGGCTGTAGTTTTCTGTAAAATTAATTAGAAATTTATTATGAAAAAAAATTATAGTTGCTAAATGTTTTTGGGATAATTAAGGTTGTTTTCTTCAAAAAAAAAAAAGTCTTATAGTTGTTATATTCTACTAGTTCAGATTGTGGGAAGCTCTTCATCATGCAAAATTTTGAAAAGCAAGGAAAGTTTAAATTAAGACATAAAATAAATTATAAAACAACGGTCTTATCTTCAAAAACTTAGCAGCAGAACTCTAGTCTGCATGCCTAAGCTGAGACTTGGCAACATAGTCTGTAGTAATTCAGATGGAATTGCCCTTCAGTTCTTTTGTTTTTTTTGGGATATTTAGACCAATTAAGATAGAATCATACAAACATTGCATATGAAAGATTCGAACTCAAGATATTTTAGTTGGTAGCTGAAGCTTCCAACCAACAGATCAAGATTAGCTGTGTGTTTTAGTTCTTCTATGATGGTGGTATTTTGAAGAAAGTATGCACAGTGATAATGGACTCTAACTCTATTTTATGATCTCTGTTTGGATGGCTGACCTCCTTGGGAGGTTTTGGGATATTAATGCATTGCTATGACTGACATTTCCTCCTCATGCAAACCTAACTCTATTATTTGGGAAGATAACAAGAGATTGTCTGCTACTTTAGCAACCATTAATGCCAATTTCTTCAATGTTATCCTTAGACCTTAGACCTAACATACATAATGAAGATGACAATATTGTTATGAAGGAAAAGCTTGCCTCTCAAATTTTTCAAGAAATTATTTTATGCGGAGTTTGGACGGAAAGAATCGTCCGAAGTGTTGCTTATTTACTGTAAATGCTCAACAAATACGCAACAAATTAGCAAATACTCAATAAATACTTACAATCGAGTATTTGATGTGAGTATTTACAAATACGTAGTAAATACACAATAAATCCGGACAGTTCTTCCGATTCCGTATAGAATAATTTCTCCAAACTCTGCCAAGAAAGCTGTGCTTGAATGCTTTCAGAAGATAGAAACTGTATTTAAATATGAGTATTTTGTTGAAATTTTATTTTTAGACATCTTTGTAAAAGTTTTTTAAGCAGCTGATGGGTTCTTCGCAATGATGCATCTATATTCTTAACGATTCTGATAGTATGCATTTAAGCCATGAAGCTTTTCAATCCTAGATGCATTTCTTGTCATGATTTCTCTTTTAACTGTAATAAGAAAGGGAATGCACTGTTATTTCTAAGCTATGCTGACCAACACATGTAACAGCCTTCTTTTACTTCAATGGAATCAGGCTTATGCCCTCATCCTTGTGATTTGCTGTTGCTCTATTTTGGCATGGCAGAGTAAATATTTTAGATAGTTTGCTTCCTATTGCAAAAATTTCATCTTTATGCTTTTTGGATTCTTCTTTTTTTTTTTTTTTTTTTTTCTGGTAGAGAAATGATAATGGGAGAGTTGACAGAAGAATTTTTATAAGTTAATTCCAGTCACAATTTCCAGTTTCTTAAAAAATTATTGAAAAAACGGCAAAACTTACCCCAAGACCAGAACAAAAATATTCACGGAAACATCTGATCCCTCGTTGTGCAAAAAGGTCGTCTGAAAGCTCCCAAAACTGGAATTAACTGAGGTAGATCACTGAAGCGCATGTTTCTACCTCTCCAAGAAAACCTTGCGATTGACAAAAGCTCGATATAGCGCCCTCGATCCAAACCTGGTTATTGAAAAAGAAGCTAGAAAACTTGAGATTACTTGTAGCATGGCAGACCAAGAAACGCCGCGCCAGACTGAAGCTTCTTTCTCCATTCAAACCCCCAATGCCCGACAGTCGCCACAGAAACCCCACCAGATTCATATCTTCATGAGCCTAAGAAACTTTTAGATCGGCGGGAAGATTTCCCATCTGAATTGCGCGAGCGAGAAGTGATTCATTGAGATTGCCTGAAATGGGAAGAGAAGACAGAGATCGGTGTAAGAGTGGAAAGCAGATGATGAAAGAGAAAGGCAGCGTCGAGGCCTGCAACCGGGAGATGCCGGTGGGAACACGTGCGATACCGCATCGGCCGGAATCTTTTCCTTTTAATATTCCATTATTATTTTGATTTTTATTATTTATAGTTTTTATTTTTTATAATAATTCAAATAGATTCAATTGTTTAATTGATGATTTAATGTGTTATTGTGTTAATTTTTTATTATATAAAGATTGAACTTTGTATAATATATGTATGTGATAAAAATATCAAATAATTAGCTAATCATATGTATTAAAATATTTTTATATGAATAATAATAAAGTCTATAATCTTAGTGTATAAAATATATAATTTAAAATGAAAGATCTCCATGGTTCTAAAGAAAAGCACAATCTTCTATAATCTTAGTGCATCAAATATTTCTTCTTATTAGTTTTTATATAAAAATCATAATTTTTCTTATTAGTAAATTTAACAGGAGTACCTCTTATATATAGTTGGTCAAATATGTCCGTCATTGTGAGTTTCGAGTCTTGCCAAGTCGTATAAGATTCATTCAAGATTCGAACAATGCTTGAACCCCGTCTAAACTAATATGTTTAATGTTTGGATCATATTCAAGCCATGTTCAAGTCATGTTCTAAATTCATTTGAAAATTCTTCAAATTGGCTTTGAACAAGTTATAATAACATACTATAAGCACAATCACCATAATTATTACATAGCATACAATAGAGTAAAATCACAATAATTATAATGCAATAGGCTATAACTTTGATACATGATAGTATAATTTAATAACTTTAATGCAATTACAACAATATAACACAACCTAGGGGTGTCAATATTTGACATGACCTCAAAATTCGATCAGAACCTGACTAAAAAATTTCGGGTTATGATCAACTCGTTTGAGAAATGGGTCATGTTTGTAAAGAAGCACATGCACATAGATCCTTGCGGTATACAAGACAGGGAAAGAGTGGAGAGAAACTGGAAAAGAATGTAAAACTGTATCTTAAGCATAGACAAAACATGGTGTATATATAGAGGCTGGTTGAGTACACTTGTACTAGCTGTCATCAAGAAAGCTTAAAAGATTACAATGACTATTTAATAATAGTAATTTGTTTCTGCTCTAATACCACCCGACAAATTGAAGGATCTTCTTTGACTGTCAGTTTGAGTCTAAGTTGATGAAATCTTGATGTAGATAGGGGTTTGGTAAAGCTGTCTACAGTTTGATCTATGGTGCTGATCGGTAAGAGCCGAATGTTATTGTTGTGTATGTGATCTCGAATATTTCTATGGCCGATCTTAATGTGCTTTGTTCTTGCGTAGAAAATCGGATTATTAACCAAAGTTATAACATATGTATTGTCATAGTATGGATTTGTATGTTTGGATGGAGGAACTCTAAAGTCTGTTAAGATTCAGCGAAGCCAAATAATATCAGCTGTAATTACAGGTAGAGCTCTGTACTCGGATTCTATAGACGATCTGGATATAGTGTGTTGCTTCTTTACTGTCCATGATATGAGTGTATCACCTAGGTAAGAACAATATCCAGATGTAGACTTACGTGAAACCAGATCGCCAGCCCAGCCAGCATCAGAAAATGATCGAAGATCCAGCTTGCTCTTGGTAATTGGTGTGCCAAAAAATTGAGTGCCTTTGATATATATGAGTAGTCTTTTTAAGAGAAACACGTGCTGGAGAGAAAGATTGTGTATATGTTGCGAAAAGAAATTTACAATGTAAGCAATGTCCGGCCTGGTGAGAGTGAGATATTGAAGTGAACCAATTAATTTTCGGTATAGACCGGGATCAAATAGAATAGGATCAGTAGGAAAAATAGAGGGAAGTTTGGTACAATTAGGATTGGTTAGCAGATTACATTGGGTAAGATGAGCCAACTGAAGTATAAAATGAGCATATTGTAGTTGAGAGAGAAAATATTGATCTGGAAGAGTATGAATTTGAATGCCAAGGAATGAGTGAACCTTTCCAAGATGTTTCATTGTAAATTTGGAATCAAGTTGGTTTAGAAGATCGGTGAAGCAGAAGAGTTGTTACCAATTACAAGAATGTCGTCGACATACATAAGAAGATATATTTTGATGGAAGAATGATTAAGAATTAGAATAGATGGAGCTTGTTTAAGATCATATATGGCTTTGCACAAAAGACATACATGATTTGGGTGTAAAGAATCCTCAAAACCTTTGGGTTGATTCATATAAACAGTCTCGGTTAAATGATCATGCAAAAAAGCATTAGTGATGTCAAGTTGTTGAACATGCCATTCGTTATGGAGAGCAATGGTTAAGAAGATGCGTATGGTTGGGAGTTTAGCGACCAGATTGAAAGTTTTGGTATAATCGATGTCGTATTCCTGATGATTTCATAAGCCAACAATACGTGCTTTATGTTTAGCTATGGAACCATCTGCATGCTATTTGAGACGATATGTCCATTTACATCCTAAGATAGATAAGTTAGGTGGAGGAAGGACAAGCGTCCAAGTTCCATTCTTTTGTAAAGAAAAAAAATTCGATTGCCATGGCTTGACGCAACTCAAAGTGTTTGAATGCTTAAGTATAGGATGTCGGTTCAATAGATTTTGGATAATAGTCTTGTTTATAAAAGTGATTGAGACAGTTTGTTGGTTTTAAAAAACCTGTTTCTTTTCTTGTGACCATGGGATGGCATCGAGAAGCAAAAGGCATAAAAGAATTAGTAGAATTGAGAGAAGGGCTGATAGGAGGTGAGTCGGTGTTGGAAGGAGGCTGAGGAATTTGCGGTATAGGGGAATCTGGCCGAGCCAAACTATGAACATTTGGTTCTTGATGTTGTGTGACGTAAACATGAATAAGAAGAGATCAATTTGTAGGAGTTGGATTTGTGATGGTTTGTGGAATAATGTTCTTTAATGGAAAAGAATGCTCAATGAATGTGAGATTCCAAGATAGATAAATGCGATTTGTATGCGGATCTAAGCAGTAAAATCCTTTGTAAGACTCAGAGTAGCCCAAAAAAATTCTGGATAGAGATTTGGGTTGAAGTTTATGCCGATGTTGCGAGGGAATAAGCAGGAAACATTCGCAGCTGAATATACGAAGATGAGAGTATGATGGCTTTACATTATAAAACAATTGAAAATGAGAGATCTGATTTGCAGTGGGAAAGGGCATACAATTAATGAGATAAATTGCTGTTAAGACAACATCTAGCTAATATATGTATGGAACTGAAGCAGTGTGAAGAAGAGTGCAAATGGTTTTCATAATATGCCTATGTTTACGCTTGGCGAGGCCATTCTGCTCAAGTGTGTAAGGACATGAGATTTGGTGATGAATGCCATTATTTTTAAGATAGTTGGTGAGGGTACTATTAAGAAATTATGTGCCTCCATCAGTCCTTAAAAGTTTTAATAACATAGTTTGTTTGTTTTTCTATGTAAGTTCTGAAATTAATAAAAATGTTGGCAGCTTCAGATTTAGCAGTCATAGGAAAAACGAAAAAGCCATGTAAACCTAAAAAGTCATCAACAAAGATAATATAGTACTTGTAACCTTGAGTGGACACAAACGGGGATAGTCCCCAAACATCAGAATGAATTAAAGAAAGGGGTAAAACTTGTTTGTTTACAGATTTCTCAAACATTAGTTTGTGCTCTTTCGAGGCATTACAATAACTACAAGAATCGTTAAATTTTGCTATGTGAAGGTGCGGATTGCTGCTAACAATGGTATCAAGAACTCTCTTATTAGGATGGCCTAACCGATAGTGCCAGGTGAATGTGTCTGATTTGGATGCCTTTGGTGCGGCTGAAACAGGTTTATGCACAAGATAGAGACCTTCAACGCACGGTCCATGAAGAAGAAGTTGATTTGTTGTCAGATCCTTGAAGGTGTATCCATTTGGATTAAAAAAAAAATCAATGTTATTATCTTTAGTAAGTTTAGATATAGAAAGAAGATTGTATTTAATATCCGGTATGTGTAAAAGGTTTGATAAGTGAAGCTTACGACTTGGTGTCGGTAGAAGTCCCACCAGTGTTAGCTATGGGAACAGAACTACCGTCTTCGATGGTTACTGCGTCGGTTCCGTGATAAGGATTTGAGATCGATAGACTGTCAAGTGAATTAGTGATGTGGGAGGATGCCTCGGATTCAAGATACCATTCATGAGTCGGTTGATCCGACGAAGTGAGGAGAGCTTTGTTAGCAAAGTTGTTCGATTGTGGAGTTTAATTAGCATTGAGTCTATGCCAACAATTAAAAGCCGAATGGCCCATCTTGTTACAAATTTGACAAATTGTGATGTAAGTGGATGATGACCTAGTGATAGTAGAAGATGGCAAGGTTGCCTGGCCATGGTTGCCTCTGCTACGTCCTCTTGAAAAATAAAGTGCAAGAGATGGGTCATGGGCATTGCTGCGAACCGTTTCCATGGCAAGATTAACTTCTTCACTTAAAAGAAGGGAATAAAGATTGTCTAAACTGATGGGTTGCATAGTGGTGCGGATGGAAGTTTTGAACACTTGATATAAAGTTGGTAAACCTTTCAAGATATACAAGATGATGCCTTCGGTATCAACCTGAGCGCCGGCTGCTGCAATTTGATCAACTAGGGATTTTATTTGGGTGAGATAGGTAGTCATATTGGAGTTTTTCATGGAGATATTATGAAGCTCATTTTTTAGCTGAATGACCTTCGATATATTTGTCTATTGAAAGCGAACTTCAAATGCATCCCATATAGCCGACAAAGATTCAAGATTAAGAATATAGGGGAGGACGGACAGGGAAATAGTGGAGCATATGTCCGCCAAAAGATTTTGATATGTGCGCAGCCAGTTAAGGTAGATCGGGTTATGTATTTTTTATCCGTCCGATTGCTGGATGCAATTTGGTGGAGGAGCAGAGGGGGTTTCAAGAAATGCCATGAAGCCATTGGCTAAAGGAACCTTGGAGATTTGAGATCTCCACAAGGAGTAATTGTCGGATGAAAGTTGATTTGGAACAATATTTTGATGTTTGAGACAACAAATTTGAGGGAAGAAGATATACAGTCGGTTGTGAATCTGAGTTGATCGGAAGATTCAGCTACCTGTGAGATCTCCGATGTCGCCATGAGCGGAGGAGGCTAGAATGCCTGCTCTGATACCATAAAGAAGCACAGGCACATAGATCCTTGCGGCATACAAGACAAGGAAAGAGTGGAGAGAAACTGGAAAAGAATGTAAACCTGTATCTTAAGCATAGACAATACATGGTGTATATATAGAGGCTGGTTGAGTACACTTGTACCAACCGTCATCAAGAAAGCTTAAAAGATTACAACGGCTATTTAATAATATTAATTTGTTTATGCTCTAATAGTTTGAGTTCACAATTCTGACTAGACCTATAAACCCGAAACTAACCTAGCTTTGACCAGGGTACGTGAATTGACCACGTTAAGTCGCGTCACCATTGCGTCATGTCCGCGCGTCAGTTGTGTTGTGTTAGGCCTTAGGCTGTCACCCGCTATGCAACATCTCTTGCAAGTCGTAAGAGCCGAGAATCTCGTTTGTTCCGACTTCCGTTGTTCGCCATGCCATCTGAGTTACTCTGAACCGGCAGGCCGCTTCGGTCCGGCATTATCTCACCCGCGCTAGCCTCGCCTGCCGCCTGCTACCATGCCGCTTGAATGCATGAGCCGGTGAGCCCGTGCTAGCTGGCCTCGCCTTTTCGCATCCGGGTATGCGGGTCGGGTCAGGTCAACTTGTAACCCGCGTAAATCATGTTTGGTTTGATAATCCTAACTCATTTGCAAAATCAGATCATATTTATGTTAAACCATTTAGACTCGGATTAACTCAGATCCAACCCGAACTTCTGACCTCCGACCCATTTTGACATCCTTCACAACCTATTTAAATACTTATAAAAATAAATTCTTCATATTCATCGTAGTACTTGAATATATATTTATATCACTCGTATCTATATTTTTGGTAACTCACAGATAACTGCTGCCGAGAAATTGTTCAGACCAGAACGGGAGAGAAAAATGGCGGCGAGATTACAGGTTTCGCCGGCTCTTTACTACTGCTCTTCTTTCCTTCCCGTCTTATCCCGCCAGGCCCGACCGCATAAGTGGATCATCCGCCGCTTCTTTTCGAACCTATCCCTGTCTCGTCGGCGAACAGCCTTGGCCCTCTCCGGTCAGGCCCGGCGCGGGTTCTCCTTCCAAGAAGACAACTTCGCTTCCCGTAAGCCAAATCAACCCTAGGTCACTCTCTCCATATTTTCCCGCCCGCGTTCCAGAATGATCTTTCAACTTTTATTTCCAGGCGATAATTTGGAGTTGGATAAGATGCTCACCCACCAAGTTTTTTTTTTTTTTTTTTCCCGCTGGTGATATATAATTTAAAATGAAAGAAAATCACAATCTTCATGATTATACAACACTAGAAAGAATAACTAGGGTGCATCAAATATTTCCTCTTATAAATTTTTATATAAAAATTCATAATTTTTCTTATTAGTAAATTTGACTGTGTACCTCTTATACATAGTTGGTCAAATATGTCTGTCATTGTGAGTTTCGAGTCATGTCAAATTGTATAGGATTCAATCAAGATTCGAACAATCCTCGAACCCCATCTGAACTCATACATGTAATGTTTGAACCATATTTGAGGCATGTTCAAGTCATGCTCTAAATTCATTTGAAAATGCTTCAAATTAGCTTTCAAAAAGTTATAATAACATGCTATAACATACGAAAGCATAACCATAATAATTATAACATAGCATACAATAGATTATAATTATAATAATTATAATGCAACAGGCTATAACTTTGATATGTGATAGTATAATTTAATAACTTTAATACAATATAATGCAATTACAACAGTTATAATATAACCTAGGGGTGTTAATTTTTGACACGACTCGAAAATCCGATCAGAACATAACCTAAAAATTTCGGGTTATGGTCAATCGTTTGAGAAACGGGTCGGATTCGAGTTTAGAATTTTTGACCCGTTTATATCGGGTCGGACTGGGTTGACTTGAAAACCCGAAACTAACTTAGTTTGACCCGACTACGTGAACTGATTGTGTTAAGTCGCGTTACCATCGCGTCATGTACGCACGTCAATTAGTCGTTCGCGTGTCAGTCAGTCGTCAACGCGTCAATTGTCGTCATGTCAGGTCGCCTGTCGTGCAGCATCTCTCGCGAGTAGGGAGAGCCAAGAGCCTCGCCTGTTCCGACTTCCTCTATTCCCCATGCTGCCTGAGCCACTCCGAATAGGCTGGCTGCTCCGGTCCAGCACTGTCTCACCCAAGCTAGCCCCTCTTGCCACCTGCTGCTATGCGCCTTATTGCCTGAGCCAATGAGCCTGCGCTAGCTGGCCATGCCTGTTCGCATCCAAGTATGCAGGTCAGGTCAGATCAACCCGCAACATGCATAGGCCGGATTCGGATTGAGAATCCTGACTCGTTTGCAAAATCGAGATTCAGTTGACCCATTTAGATCTGAATCAACTCGAATTCAAATCGAACTCGGCCCTCTGACCCATTTTAACACCCCGTCACAACTTATCTGAATACTCTTAAAAATAATATCTTCATATTCATGATAGTACTTGAGATATATATATTTATATAACTAGTGTATATATTTTGGTAACTCAAAGATAAGCGCTGCCGAGAAATTGTTCAGATCAGAACGGGAGAGAAAAATGGCGGCGAGAGTACAGGGTTCGCCGGCTCTTTACTACTGCTCTTCTTTCCTTCCCGTCTTATCCCGCCAGGCCCGACCACATAATTGGATCATCCGCCACTTCTTTTCGAACCTATCCCTGTCTCGTCGGCGAACAGCCCTTGCCCTCTCCGGTCATGCCCGGCGCGGCTTCTCCTTCCAAGAAGACAACTTCGCTTCCCGTAAGCCAAATCAACCCTAGGTCACTCTCTCCATATTTTCCCGCCCGCGTTCCAGACTGATCTTTCAACTTTTATTTCCAGGCGATACTTTGGAGTTGGATAAGATGCTTACCCCAACAAGTTTTTTTTTTGTTTGCCAGCTGCTGATTTGTATTTCGAGGCCCCGCTCAAGATTGTGCAATATCCGGATGCCAGATTGAGGGTTAAGAACAAGCGCATCAATACCTTTGACGAGAATTTGAAGAAGTTTGCGGACGAGATGTTTGATGTAATGTACAAGTGAGTGTTTTCTTGCAGGCATGGCCTACCTGCATCAATCAATTTAAAATGATTGTCCGTTTTAATAGCCTGAAATGTAGAATTTTTGAGACAGAACTGATGGCATAGGGTTGTCGGCACCCCAAGTTGGAATGAATATTCAGCTCATGGTTTTTAATCCTGCTGGTGAACGTGGTGAAGGAGAAGAAATTGTCCTTGTGAACCCTGTAGTGCACAAGGCCTCTAAAAAGACTCTTCTATACAATGAAGGTTGCTTATCGTTTCCTGGAATCTATGCCGATGTAGTGGTAATTGTCATTTTGTTCGATTTGTTTACACCTGCTACAGTTTGTCAGGAAGTCACCAAGTCATTTCGTTAATAATTTCAAATAACATATTCTTTAGGATTGGTTAGCCTTTCCATGCTAATATTGTTCATGTTTTCAAACAGAGACCAGCTTCTGTCAAGATTGATGCCAGAGATGTAACTGGTGCAAGGTTTCGGGTTAATCTTGCTGGCCTTCCTGCACGAGTTTTCCAGCATGAATTTGATCATTTGCAGGTAAATCCTTCTGTCTGTATTTATATATATAAGAAGACAATAACCAATCATTTTCATTTAAATTTTTCTCCTTTTTTTACGTTCCTCGCATCACATAATCTTCTTTCTCATCACACCACATGAAACTTATTGATTGATAGACTTTCATCAATTTTGATGATAACTTAACCATCATCAAGCATGTGAAAGAAATAAGAATGGTCCTTTTACATGCAAATCCACTTAAAAGAGTTTTGTTTTATCTATAAATCTCACCAATAAAAGCCATCAAATATATACTAAATGTCATAAAAAGCATTACTTTTTGTTCCAAACCATTTAGGTAGACGTTGAAACACAATTATCTTCTCATATAAATGGAGTCATCTATTGAGGAATTTTGATGGATCTGATTAATGACTAAGTAATTTTTAATGTGTATTACAATAATTATGTCACGAATTTTAATGATGTTAAAAGTAATAGAAAGTTTTGGTCTTGTATTAAAAACTCATAACATTGAAAGCTAGATGACATGAGAATGATGATTCTACTTTTAAAATGAGAAAAAGTCTATCATACTGACATACTTACACACATAGATGCACAGACAAGCACACAAGTTTATTTTTAAGGTTGATTCCTCAAGGATTGATTGGTTCCCTTTTGTTCGGAATGTATACCTTCTTACGGTCTTACCTACAAATTCAACTTGCACAACTATCATAATTTTTTTTTTTTTGAAGGTTTGGCATATAAATTACATGATATCAACATCCAATTGAACATGCCTAGTTGAAAGAAACCTATTGAGCACAGTGTGTCTATTGTGACTGTTCAATCTTTATCTCGTGTGACCATTGTATTATCATTATAATATCTACATGATTTCCTATTCTTTAAGCAATGAAAATCTTCTACATCTACGCATTATGGAACTCATGTCCCGTAAATCTATCTTTATGCGAGTACATTCTTGGCTGGATATATGGCTTTGATTCTTAAAGGCTTGTTAATTTGCAGGGAACCCTCTTTTTTGACCGGATGACTGAAGATGTGCTTGATAGCATTCGGTTAGACTTAAAGGTTCGTGTTGTAGGATGGTTAATAAGCTATACATCGCCATTGCCTGTCATATGTGATTTGTATTCGGTCCTAAGTTTTTATTTTCTTTATTATTAATATGAATTTAACTAATGATTTTGATAGCTTAGTATCAGCCAATGTTTAAAATTGCGTATTCGGGTATTGAGGCGGTTTTCATTCGTGAGGCGAGGCGTAAGCCTCAAGGCGTTTTGAGGTGTAAGCCTCAAAATCAAAAGATTGTGTAAACATAAAATGATAAATTTTTTATATACTAATGAGTGGATAATATAAAACATAAAAAAGTATAAGATATGAAGTGAAATCAAAATATCCCAATAATAAGACAACATGAAATATAGTGCAACTCAAAATTCTATCTTTCCCAAATCCCAATATTCTTTTAATTAACATATAATTCAAATTTCCAAAAATAAATAGCAATGATATATCACATAAGAACTCATAAGTCATCAGCACTGTCATCACTAAGGGGTTCTTCATTTGAATCATCATTATGATGAACTGCTCTCTCCCCTTCCTCCTCTCCTATAGAGTCCAATGTCGGGCATTTACTTCAAGATTTATGTAAGTTTTAATATATATAGCGTGAGGCGTAAGTCTCATACCAGTGAGGCGAGGCGGGCCTCAACCAAGTTGAGGCGCAAGCCTCATAAAAAAATTCAAGGCGTAAGCATCGAGACGTTTTTTACTGGAATTGCACAAAGGCGGGCCTCAAGGCGAGCCTCATATTGCGCAATTTTAAATCATGGTATCAACATATAACTGAGAATAAATATTTCCCCAGATCAATCTATGCCAGCTGAAAAATAAGATTTAATAAATATGAGACATTGCCAAATCTCCTGCTTTAAGATGTAAACTTGAAATAGAATGCTGCATACCTGCAATCAGATTTGTGATAGGAAATACTTGAGTTTGCAAGCAAACCTAGCAGTGATTGCTGGAAAACAGCAGGAAAACTGCTGATTACAGCAGAAAACAGCCACGGTACAACAATCTTCACGAGAAATATAGAGAAAAATGAGAAAAAAATAAATGATTCCACTAGCCAATGCCGAAAAATAGCAAATAATACAAGTTTCTTCGATTCTAGAGGAAAAAACAACTCTCCAAATCTCTAGTTAAGTCTAAAGCCCAAAGGAACAAACCCTAGATCTCAAATTTGATTTCAAACTCAAGATGAAATCCTAATTCTAGCATTAGCAACTAATTAAAGGAAAATGAGTAATACAAATCCCTAAAAAGCCCTTGATTCAAATATTTCTCTCCAAACAATCTTTAATCAAGGTGTGAGCTCTGTAGGAGTAGCCGGCCCTCTCTCTCTCCCTTCCTTGGGCTGGCAGCTGTAATAGACACTAGGGACCAGTTCAATAGGTGCAGCAGGCCCCTCTTGGATCGGCCTAACAGTTTGATCAACATTTTACTCGACAACTTATGGAAGTCCTCTAGCAATGAACTTGAGCAGATTAGATGTTTTATATTTTATTTATTACAAGTCCACAGAGTTGTATCTCAGTATGGTTGAACTCCGAGGGTTAAACATCTCATTAACTTATGAACAAATATGAATATTATCTGATAGACGATGATAATGTAATTCCAAATAGTCATGAAAGAAGATGAGGAGAATGAGGTGATGATGAATGATTCTTCAACTAATAAGGGTGACATATAATTGATCATAATTCTGTAAATGACACCCTTGTGAGCAATCAACTAGTATTTCACCATTTTATTTCTACAAGTTTGTTGATTTAGCTTGTCATCAAAGTCCTATATGGGGTCCTGATTTGGTACCCATGTTTTACTCAGACAGGTTTCGCCTACCCACGCCCACCCATGGAAACTTTCGGGATGCCGTACCCACCAATACTCACCCACTTTCCATGCTTTTTGAACGCAGTATGCCACGAACTGATAGCCTTGAGGCTTGTTTCCATTTCCTCTTGTTGCAAACTTTCAAGTTGCATGTCAGAATTTATTGTAGTCATAGCATGGTTAAGTATTGTACACTACGTAGTGATGATTGCAGTAATATAATATATACGGTGATTAGCAATGTAAATTAATTTATCCCCCGATGTTGAGTACCCATCCATACCCACCCACAAGGTCATGGGCGTACCTATACCCACCCATACCCATTGGGTATGGGTGGGTACATGGGTGGGTGTGGGTACGGGTACCCAATGCAGAGCTCTGCTTGTCATCTGTTTCTATGATTTGTTATTTAGTTCAATTATGGGTTCACGGCCTGGCAATTGCATCTTCGTTTTGAAGTAGGAATGCTATGTGATAGGAAGTACTTGTATATCTCAAGTATTTTCTATCAGTCTTCGAAAAACAGCGAGCTTTCTCTACTAAAATCCACACAAAACCACAAAAGCAATAGATAATTTGTATTATTTGATAAAAGGGAAATGGAAAATAACAAGATACAATTGATCCTCTGAGGATCAATCTCTCCCAAATCTCTAAACGCCGCTAGAGCCCAAAGAAAACCTAAATCTAAGTAATCTCAAATTTCAACCAAATTCAAGATGCCCTAACCCTAGGAAAACAAACTATTTAATGCATAAAAATCAAAAGAAAATCCCTAAAAAATCCCTACATTCATATTTCCCTCTTAATTCCCCCAAAAAACTTTCCTATTCGTCTCACGCAGCATCCTCATGAGGCGGAACAGCTCCGCTGTTTCACCCATAAGCCGGTCCCACCTGGACCGGTTGGACCGTTCAAGTGGACCGGTCTAACACTATGTTGATCAGTGCCTTCCCCCACCTTTAGCTTACAGGCGTATTGTTTATTTGAAATTCCTTATTTTTCTTAAACTAATTAACCTTGACAAGCACTTTTGTGTAGCATGCAGATACATGTTGATGTGAAACATGAGAGGATTGGATCCTAAATGTCTTGAAGAGCAAATCAATGGGTCTAAACAGCAACTTTGACTCTTAGAAAATTATGAACAGCAATCTCCAATGCTTGAATAAACCTTGGGCAGCTGTTATAAGGCTACTGGAGGCTTTTAAACAGCAATTTCAGACCTCCCGGGGTGCAGGACAGCACTTGATGGCTGCAGGAATCTGTGGACAGCACACAGGATGCAGTAGGAATTGCTGGACAGCAATTTGCTGTGGGTAAAACAGCAATATTGGGGCATCAGGCTACTTGGATTCAAGAGGAATTGCTGGAAATTTCTGGCTGCAGCTTTACAGGGAGGAAGACCCAACGTCAGGCAGCATTTTGGGAGAGAATTGTAGAAGGAAATTAATATATCAGCCTTGGGAATTTTCGGCCAGCAGATAAATACGGAGATGGTTCAATTCCAACGTGAGGGAGGCTGAAATTGTGGGCAGAATTATGGGCCAGGTTTTGGAAATACTTCCAACGTGAGTGAAGCTGAGATTGTGGACAGAAGTTGTGGTGGATCTTGGATATCTTGGCCACGGGAAGGAATTTGAATTGTTTCCAAGAGAGGATGTGGCTTTAGGAAACAAATCTATGGGGTATTATTGAGGGGGCCGGTGGAGGCATAGGCTAGAGATGAATTAATAGGTAGGGATTTAATTCCTGCTACAAAACTCCTTAGATTAGGGAATCAATTAGGAATTTAATCAAAAATCTGAATTTTAATTTCAGTTTTAATTAAATTAGGAGGGAATTGATTTGAATTTTAAAATTCAAATCAAAGAAATTAATGCCATGAATGGGGGAGTAAAGGAGGGAACTAATTTGAAATTTGAATTCAAATTAATTAGAGATAGGGAGCTTTAAATGAGAATTAATGGAGAGCCCATTAATGGTGGCCGGCGGCATGAAGAGGAGGGAGGGGATGGTGGTAAGTGTTTTATGAGTTTCCAAAACAAGCTTGGCCAATTAGGATGGAAAATAATGAGTCCTCTCCAAATTGAATTTAGATTGGATTCAAAATTTGAAAACTTTCCTTTTTAGACTTTTGCAAATATGGAAAGTTTGAACCTCAAATTTGAATTTCAAATTTTGAATTCAAAATTGCTAGATTCTCCCTTTATTGCAAAACCCAAGTTAAGGAGTCATTATGACAATTTGAATGTCATAATGACTTGGATCATGAGTGTGGCCGGCGGTCCAAAGGAGGGAGGAGGTGCCGCCGATCGGGTGGGGAAGAGAGAAATTAAAAGACACATTTTCCCCTTGGGCTTACATAAGACAGAGGGTAAAAAAGGGAAATTGCGAAACTAAATTAAAATACACTTAATAAATGAAAATAAAACAAAGTGATCTCGGTCGTCGATCTTCAGCTCCTCCTCAGATTGGCATGGACGGTTGGATGTCCGCATCACATGTAGATATTAATTCATACTTCACATTGTGCTACAGACTTTTTTGCTTAATCTTGAAGAATCAGTGAACAATATCTTTACAAATTGAACCTCTTTCATTTTTTTACGAACTTGATCATATTATGGCAGGCTTTAGAGAAGAAGTATGAAGATCTGACTGGGCAGCCTAGCCCAGAAAAGATAGACAATTACAAACAAAGACAGGAATTTGCTGATTTTGCCAGAATTTGAAATACATGTAGGCTTGCCCGTAAGTTACTTATTGGAAAAGTGCTTCCCCTTTCTCAGTTTTCTTATCTATATATCTGCTCTTCTGAAGTAATGCGGTCAAAGCTCTTTTATATTTAAATGTACTTAACTTAGCTAAAGTTTATCCATTAAGTGTTGTTTGAATCTATTTTGGTGAGTTGTATACAGTAGCTTTTCTATTACACATGTGGCGTCTCTATTCAAAACATGGAGTAGATTATCTCCTATTTGTATATTTGTAAGCTTAGTATATCATGAGACATGTATTGGATGATTAATGATTGGAATTTGTCCTCCACACAACAAAACAGCAAGAACTAGATAAAACACAACAAAAATCTGCGAGAAAGATGTTTATTTCAACACAACAATCCAAAATACAAGTTGATCTACTATTTGTAGATTGACTCTCTACAAATCCTAAGTGCCGCTAGGAACAACTTCAAAAAAAAAAACTACATAAAACACACATACATGATAAAATAAAACAACCCTATTAATCCCCATATAAACCTTCCTACTTCCATCCTTATTTTGTATTCAATTCAGCCTAAATCCCTTAAAAAATGTCCATTACATCTTTCTCAAAGAACTCCCCCCAAAGCCTTCTCTCTTATAGGTGATAAAAGGTGGTCTTGGGCTCCACAGGAGAGATGAAAGGTTCTTCATCTGCTAAAAGATTTTTGGCCCCACCTCAATACCCCCCTTTCAAAAAATCGCATTTTCCTCAAGGTGGAAAGATGAAAATTGCTTATGGATGATACTGTAGGGCTCCCATGTCGGCTCATACTCTAGTAAAGCTTCCACTTGATCAGCACCTCCCTAATCCCCTTATCTCCTTGGCTCACCCCTTTCACCTCCAGTGATTCTAATATCACATCCATATGCTCTGACAGTGTAGTTGGAAGTGTGGGCGAGGGTTTGTAGGCTCCAATGACTCGTCTCAATTGTGATACATGAAATACGGGATGGATGATAGAGGTCGGTGGCAATTGTAGGTGATATGCTACTGCACCAATGCGCTCCATTACCTCGTGTGGCCCAAAGTAGCCGGGAGAGAGCTTCTCATTCTTTCGTCGAGCCAAAGTCCATTGTCTATAAGGTTGGATATTCAAATAAATCATATCTCCAACCTCAAACTGCATGTCTCTCTTATGTTCATTCGCATGCTTCTTCATGATTTGTTATGCTCTCCATAGATGTTCCTTCAATCCTGCCAAAATCTGGTCTCTTCCTCCCAAGTACTGCTCCACTGATGACACTAATATGTTGGCATGCCCATAATGTATCAGATGAGCATGTTGTATGCACACTTGTAATGTTTGAGGATGCTGCACGGGTCAAGAAATGAACCTAAGTTTGAACCAATCCTCCAATATGAATGAATAGGAGTCCACATGGTTCGAATCATCAAACAAATATATGATTGTGGCGTCGACCATAATATTTGTTTTATACATTCATATTAAGTCTTCAAGGCCTCCCAATGAAATTCAAAATTTTAAAAATATCAAAATCTATTTTTAAAATTAAAATAAATCACCAAAATGCTTAAAGAAAAATGGCTTCAAATCCTTGAGCAATAAATCAATAGGATTTAATCGATAGGGCGTAAAGCCCTCTGTTAGCTAAAGTGGATTCAAATTTATCATCTTAGACAAACATTCACCCCAGGTCTACAGTGTACGCTTGGATGAAGGAACCCATGGAAGCCAGAAGGATCTTTATGTCAGGTTGGGTCGACTACCTCCTCTGACTAAGTAAACCAGTGATCATAATGGCCAGAGATGACAGAATCATGAGATTTTGTTCGGGTCTATCATAACTCCCCCCACCATCCACTTTAAGCATGAGGTGCCGACATTTTAATTTTAAATATGAAATTTTGAAAAACCTAAAATCATGGTGTTACTATACACTAGATATTACGTATCTGTTTGGCAACTAACTTTAATCAAAAGTTCTCTCTCGCTATCGGGAGGGGTAATTAACTATAGAGGCTTGCGCCTATAGGCTTGCGCCTATAGGAAGAGTCGAAAATCCAGTGGCTTTGCCGCTCAAAGATTCGAATCCAAGAAGAGGAGGAAGATGAAGAGGATACCATGGACGTTGAAGTGATCGACATGGTAAGGCATGAGCACCATGATGAGGGTGGTGATGAGAATGATTGATCGCTCAGACGGATTCACTGACACCTCTATGGGGCTATGTCCGAGAAGCCACTCCTCGGAAGAAGAGGAAGAAGAGATTGAAGAAAATCCCTTTGTCGACGACATTGTCACGCTAGCAGTTATACGAAGACAGATGATATGGAAAATGAAGACAAAGGACAAAAAAAATCTCTCAGCTAAACGCTAAGATGATTGAGATGACGCAAATGATGGCGATGGTGCATATGATGCAGAGAACTACTGCCGTGGGCCCTGCTCCTACTCTTATCGATCCTCCAAACCTTCAAGCGCCTCAAGTTTCATGGTACGAGGTACCCCATGAAGGTGGCAATGAGGCTAATAACGTCATTTGCTAGCCCGCTCTGCAGAACATAGCAAGTACCTCTGAACCTGTGACCGTTGCACAACTGGAGGGAATAATCACTAAAAAGAGCAAGGCTTTCATAGCCGTTGATCAGGTAGAGAAATTAGAATGCAAGTGTTGCCCGTATCCAGTAGAATATGACCAAGTATCGTACCTGAAAGGGTACTTTGTCCCGAAATTTAATACCTTCAATAGTTGACAATTATGGGAGCCAATCAATAATTGATTAACAATATTATAATAAAAGCTGGGCGAATTCATTGGGGGGAGATGCCAATAGTTGATAATACAAGAATGACACCAACTAGGAGAGTCATTGGACCACTAAAATATTGGTAGTTGGAGGAGCAACTGAATGCAATTGAATATTAAGAATATTAGTCAACGGGCAAAACATCAAAAAAAAAAAAAGAAAAAAAAATCGAATAATTATTTAGCATAATCAAATGATAATTTATCGAGAATTGATCATTGGATGAGTTAATGAGATTCGTCAATTTGGCGGGTCAATATGAGAAAAAATTATTACATCCGGTGAAAATACCGAGCAATACCGAGCATACCGAGTGTACCGAGCGTGCTATACTGAGCACGGTACCGAGCACTTTAGTGACGTGGCGTTTTGTTATTAGTTTCCGGATGCATTCGGTAACCTGACGGAATAATTACTCCAATATGAGAGGATAACCCTTTTAGTGAAAAGCATAATAATTTTTTCATTGGTAGTCAAAGCTCGAACTTCGTAATTGAAGGGGGTGGGGATTGGCATGATAATCAAAGCTTTCTACTAACAGATCAGAGATCTCCTTTTCCTTCTAATTATTTTATATGAGAATTTAAAGTCAGAATTTAGAGTGCAAGCAAAATATCTTTTGCATGCATCGCCAGCCAAAAGCGAAAACAATGCCATACACTGACAAATAATGCTTCTACACTTCTCTTCTCCACGTGTTTTTTTTTTTTTTGGAACGGGAAGTATCGGCCCGCTGTCACGTCAGCTTGTGACGTGCTTGGCGATGTCTGTTAGTCTCCTCGGCTGACCTAGACGAGTGGCCCATACCCTTGCTACTCGTGGCCAGCACTTATTAGGTCCCCCCTAGAGGGGCGACTACTGCCTGAGGGAATCGAACTCGAGATGGGGGGTTCCAACCGAGCATGCCCACCAACCAAGCTAAGCAAATAAATTTTAATACAAAAATTTAATAAAAATAAAAATTGCCTCAAACAAAGCAAGAATTTGATTGAAGCAATTTTTTTTTTTAATTTTTTAAAGTAGCTTTTTATTATATAAATGTCTAGTTAAACTAATTTTTATAGTATAAAATTACGTTAAAAAGAAGTATTAAAATTATCCCAAATAAAATCTAAACCTTAATTTGATACTACTTTATTTTTCAGACTACATTTATAAATTCTTTTTAGCCATTATTTTTTGAAAAAATCTTGTTCTAAAATATTATTTTTTTATAATTTTAAAAAAATTATCCCAAATAAAACATTAAGCTTCAGTTACTACAACATTCTTACAATTTTATTTTTTAACTTTTTGCACTAGTTTCAATAAATTGTTATGCTAAGAAGCCACTTTTTATAATAAAAAAAAAATTATTTTCTCCACAACTTTATAGCAATGCAACAACCCTCCCAAACAGGAAAAATATTACATGTTTTCTCTATCTTGTACAATAAGTGTATACAAGAGAAAAAAAAAATCACATATATTTATATAATTGGAGTCCGGATGAAAAGCTATAACCAAATTCCACACATTATAAAACTACTCAAGCAAACCCTAAGATCTTACTGAATTCAATTGCTGAAATATGCTAAGTTGATTTCACACACAAGCCATGGTAATTGCAAAGGTTCTTCTCAATCCACAAAAGCATCAATCTTATTTCATAAAGCTGGAATATGATTCTGAAAGTAAACTTGCACATGAAATTACACACAAAGCGAAATAGCACTTCCTAAAAGTTTCATTTCTATAGAATTAAAAACCTTAATTACTACAAGCAAGCATGTACGTATTTCTTATTTACCAAATAAGGATTTTATCCACCAAAAACCCTTCTTGTCGGTTGGGCTTGCTTCATCACTCTCCGGAGGGGGATCTGCCTGAGGAGTTTTGTGTAACTTACTAACATCATAGCCTTCTTCCTTTGCCTTCTCCAATAACTGATTGTATATTTCATCATCAATATGAGTTGTCCTGCTCAGTATCTGTAATACCAATCACTATAACTATTCAGTATCAATAACTAAACTTGCCAATTTGCTGATATATAATTCTCAAATTTGTAAGGGTCTCTTATAAATGTGAAGCTTTTATATGGTAAGTCAATTTTTTTTAAAGTTTTCGTTAATATTATAAATATATTCTTCTTAGAAAATAGAGTAATTTTTTTTAAACTACTACATTAGCAACTTGGGTCATAAAAAACAGTTTATCAACATAAAAATTTCTGAAAGTAGCAAAAGTAGATGCTAAATGAAACTATAATTCCAGTCTAAGAAGCAAATCAATGAGAAAGTTGTCCCAAACAGGCCCTATCACTACGATACATTTTAGGCTTTGTTTGGGACAGCTTTCGTACTATTTTTTAAAATGGCGTTCTAATACAAAATTTTATATTCAAGAAATTTTTTTACTAGAAAATTATTTTAAAAAGCAAGAAGAAAGTCATCCCAAAATAAACCTTAACCTTCATCTAAAAGGTAGAAATAAAAGTGATTTTCTTTCTTTGAGATAAAAGTTAAAGGTGTTTAAAATAAGTGAGATTTTTATTGCACTGAAAAGAAATTGTGCAACATGCAAGTTTATTAGAGCCAAATTTGAGATTTTTATAGATAAGATTTAAATGAGAATTTAAATTTTAATAGGGCACAATAGAGAAAAATGATTCATGTAACTGATCCCCCTACATAATGGGATAAAGACTGATGTTGTTGTAGTTGCATATGCAAGTTTGGTGGTTTGATATGTGCATGTAAAAACTGAGTAGGCCATTTAAAGGCAAGATCCCCATCTTGATCTGTTAACACAGATCAAAATTAGAATTGACTTGGGTTCTATTTGATATGATTGTAAATTTTTTATAAAATTGATGGTGAAGAAAATAATTTTGCTATTATGATTGAAAAAACAAATTTTTAAAAACTAATAAAAAGCAATAAAAATGTGATTATTATCTGAAAACATAACAGCCATAAATGCAAAAACTGTCCCAAAAGAAGATATTATTATGTGTGGAATCAAGATGTAGTTTTTGTTCGGATTTCAATCACACATTTTTAAGCGTATTTTCTCTCAATTGCACACACCCTGTGTACAAGGAGAGATTATTAGATGCGGAGTGCGGACGGGGAGAACCGTCCGCACACAAGTATAGGGTACCCAGTTAGGTAGTACTCGGTACCGCTAGATACCGTTTGGTACCGCTTGGTACCCTGTGCTTGTGCGGACGGTGTGCGGATGGTCCACACTCCGCACTTAATAATTTTTCGTGTACAAGGGCGAATTATTACATCAGGTGACCGGACATCCGGACATCCAATCCAGACGCGTCACGTCACCCAAATACACCGGGGCCCTATATATTTGGGTGACATGGCGCGTCTGGATTGGTGTCCGGATTCGTCCGAACACCGGATGTAATAATTTGCCGTGTACAAGAGAGAAAAAACACTTTGTAAATATGTGATAATTTTTTCCAAAACAGACCCTTAATAAATTTTTAGTAGAGAAATCTCAGTTTTGGGTTTAGGTAAGCTAATATTTTTTATTTATGAAATGTTGCTATTCAAGTGACTGTAAGGAATAGGGAAAAATTAGGTCAGGAGAATCCAAGCAGGTATCAGTGAACAGTTGTTTCAAACAAACGAATCTCCGTTGACCTATTACCATCCTATTCGTCTGCCGACAAGGTGTTCTTTGTTGGATTCAATTCAAACCTAATCATCTAAGAGAATTTTTTAATCCTAATCGATTTCTCACTGCTCCCCGAATCCATACTGCAGTCTTAAAAATCTCCAGATACAAATAGAACTAATTCATCAATTGACTTTTCATCAAATCCCAACACCAAATCAATATATATTCTTCACGTAAGATTCTATAAAGGCTCACATATGTATGCCCGACAGAAATATAGACAAAATGCTTGTTTATTAGAATCTCGAGATAAGCACACAAGAAATCAAATCCTTTCATCGAATCTACCTCATCAATAATCCCCCAATGATTTTGTTCATCCTTCTTCATCGCATCAAAAGATTTTTACGAAAAAAACAGCAATCAACGATATACATCAAAGGTAAGAAAATACTAACCCAGAGATTAGTACGAGACGGCTCTCCAATAAGCGCATACGTATAATCCGGATCAAGGAAGAGAACCCAATAGTTGCCGGTGACAGGAATGATCGGGAAAAAGGGCGGAACATAGAATTTCACCTTAAACTTAGCCTCATCGTTGTTAGGATTTGCCTTATAAGCAGAACCCTCGATGTAATCCCTCTTTCCACCGCTCCAGGTCTCATTAAGAACATGAACGGTTCCATCAGCATTGAGAGCATAGGTCGCACGGGTGTTCACACCGTCTCTGGGTTGGAAAAACGAAGGTACTGAAGCAATTTCATACCATCTTCCAATGTACCTGTTGAGATCGAGGCCATGGACTACAGTCATCTCTTTGCTCCCTTTCCCCATTTTATCTTCTTCTGCTTTTTCAGTTTCGCTTATTCGGTCGGTTTGGAGATGGAGAGGGTTTCCGGGGCTTATATGGGGAATATTTTTGGACTGGGGAGAGCCTGAGAGGATAACGCTGGAGACGGAGGCGGACGTGGAGGATTTATGGCCACACGTTTAACCGTTATGCAAATTTGTCCTCATCTTCTAGAAATTTCGAGGTGGTAGGGTTCTTTCCATGACTAGAATTACCCACAGATTTCTAAATTATAATTATATTATTATTAAACCTTATACGTGTTGGTTCATAAGGCTTCTCTTACGTCCACGTAAGATTATATATATATATAAATATTATAGGTGCATAATAGGTTGATATTGAAACTCATACCTAATAGGTTATGGTAACAAAGCTCGGTCGGTAGAATCATCGTCACCTTTTAAAGGCACTGGCTAGTTAGGAAAAATGATGCCACTTATCATGATCTCTTGATTGAGAGATTTGACTACAAATTAAGAGATTTTGAAAAAGATATCATGAAAAGTGTTGTAAGGAATTTGTACATGTTGCGCCATGGAATATTGGCGGCGGTAGAGAAATATAAAGTTTAACGTCTTAGCTTTGTACGAATATCCAGCACGCAATCAGATAAAAGAGAAGGTGCAGCATTCATAAGAGGCACCAAGATTTTTATGTGAAAAATTCTAAGAAGGGGGAAAACTACGGGGCCTAACCCAATTTGAATGAATCAACTACTATTTACAGTTGATTACAAATTAGACCCTTCATTGGAGGGAAGACATTGGCTTGATGTAACAAATATACATCATATAGTGTGTGTTACATGGTCGAAATATGAAGAATTACTGTTGACGTGTTCATTTGGTTGAAAGGGGCTTAGTCGGTGGGTGACGAAGGTCGGAAAGAACATTGTCTAACGACGGTGGTTGAAATGACTGTAGTCGGAGGGTGACAGAGATCAGAAGGATCGTAGTTGGTGGGCGACGGAAGTTAGAATGACCGTTGTCTAGCGACAGGTAGATGGACTATTGACGAGCGGAAGTCTGGTGTCAGGTAGATATCTGGCGACAGACAGAAGTCTGGCATCGGACAGAAGTCCAGCAACAGGCGAAGTCCAGCGACAGGTGGAAATTCGATGCTAGGTAGAAGTCCGACGACATGGCAGAAGTCCGGCGGCGAGCGAAAGTTAGGCGTCGAGTATAAGTTCGATGAAAGTTCAACAACGAGCCGAAGTTCGACGTCGGGTAGAAGTCCGGCGAAAATCCGACAACAGGCAGAAGTCTGACGACTAGTGGAAGTCCGACGTCGAGCAAAAGTCTGGCAACGGGTGAAAGTCATACGTCAGGTAAAAATCCGGCCACGGGCGGAATTCTGGGGTTTGGTAGAATCTTGATGTTGGGTAGGAATCTGACGAAAGTCTAACAACGGGTAGAAGTCCGGCATCGGTCGGTGGCCGGGAGGAGGTTGAGGAGGAGCTTGGTGGCAAAATAAATCTTGAAATCTCTGATTTCTCCTCCTCTCCTCTCTTTTTTCCCTCCTTGCTTTGGGGACCCCCTCATCCTCCCCCTAATCGGCGGGCGACGGATGTCGGAAGGACTGTAGTCGGCGTCGGCGACTGAGGTTGGATGAACCGTAGTCGACTGCCGACGGAGGTCGGAAGTCCGGAGATGGGCAAAAGTCCGGCGTCAGATGGAAGTTCAATGATGGATGGAAATTGTTTCGTCAAGCACTCTATTCGACTATAAGCATGTCACTTTTGGAAATTGTTTGGTAATCCAAATTATAGTTTAAATCTTCCAAAGATGCTTTGAGTCTTCAATTTGGACCTATATTAGCTTAGATTAAGTCGAATTTTGTGTCGTTAGGTTCATATTTCTGAGAAGTTAAGTTCGACTATAAGTTTGCTAAAATTGGAGTTTAGATGATCCCGAATTTAGTTTCCAACTTGATTTTTTACTTGAGATTCGTGCCGATCAAGATAATTTTCTGATGAGCAGGAGAGTATTTTCAAGATTTGTATGTTTTAAATGTATGTCAAGTTGTTGAGAAAGTATTCTCTAGTGGCAGTAAACGTCATAGGAGAAAATCTTGAAATTAGCTTTTTGCTGCCTAGTTGTGTGGTTTTTTTTTTTTTTTTTGCTTAACTGGTATTTTTGTTGATGGTTGCCTAATTTTTGGGCCGGTTTTGGGTAATGCTGGTCAGTTTTGTTGGGTTTTGTTCTTGGTTGTGGGAGAGGTGATGCTCTATTGTCCTCTTCTCTTTTCTACTTCATGTTGTTTGCAGGTTATTTCTTTTCCTTACTTGGATTTGATACCGGGTCGCTTGGGTTGCTCTTGGTGGCCGTTTGTTGGGGTGTTGTAATGGATGTTGTCGTTGGTGTTGTTCTTGTTTCTTTAATTGCTTTTAAGCTTTTTCTTTTTATTTGCTTTGTTTTCCTTGTATTATGTAGGATCTAAACCTCGTAGGTTTTATTTCAAATATTGTTCTTTTAGTGAGCTTCTGATTCTCTAAGACTATATACTTTTTATCATTATTAATGCGTAGGCCCCGCCGTGAGTTTTCTAAAAAAAAAAATCATTACAATATTTAATGGATCAAATAATTTCCAAATCTTACACGAATACAATCAAAATGAGTCTCAAAACAAGAGGAGTCCAACAAATTTAATAACGCTCAAAATAACGATTATGTTTATTCTCGAAGAAATATGACATTGGAGAGAATGAGGTGTTCAAGACATTCAATAAATAGAATTATCCACATCTTATATTATTATTATTATTATTATTAAATGGACTCAATAGTTTAATTGTTCATTCAAGATGTTAATATGAGGATAAGAATTTATGACAACAAAATGATAATGTAAATTGTGTCAATGGATTTTTTTCATTTTTATCCATCACATCTCGGGATAATTTATGCAATTTTTTAGATTTTTATGCCTTTTTTTTTTTTTTGTCTTTCATTGATTGGTCGTCTTTTGTTTTTTTCTATTATTTTTGCTATTGTGAGAGGTTTTGGCCTTTCACACCTGCTAAAAGTTAAGGAAAAATAGAAAAACTATTGAGTGTAGTTCTTATTATTTTGCTTGGAGTGCAAGGAATCACAATTTTTATAATTTTTTCCTGATAATTCTTGGAATTTTGTGACTAAGATTTTGTTTGGGACGACTTTCTTAATGTTTCTTAAAGCATTGTTTTAGTTAGATAGATACTTTAAGAAGCAGTAAGAAAGTCATCACAAACGAAGCCTCAGAGTCTGTTTGCGATGGCGGTAACATTTTATATAGTTGATTGTGAAATTGATATGGGGAAAAGTAATTTAAGCTTAGTTTGAGACTGCTTTCTTACTGCTTTCTAAAGGAACTTTTTAGTAAAAATATGTATTGTACTAAAAAAATGTTTCGTTAAAAAATTGCTTTAAAAAACAGTAAGAAAATCAAAATAGTTAAACAAACCTTAAAAATCATCAAATTTTCATAAAAAATGATGCCGACATTGACAAGGGTCAAATGTACACAAAGGGATGGAAAAAATAAGAAACTTCTTGCTGAAAGGAACATGACAGGCCCATAGAAGAAGAGATGCATGGATCCTATATGCCTGGCCTTTTCCTTTTCTTTTTTAGCCTTCTCCATTATTATTCTTCCTTATACGCCTCTGTGAGAATATTATTATTTGAGCTACAAGTCATCTTGTTTGTTCTATGTGAGAATATGATTTCAATCAAGACATATATTCGCTTAGTTGACGGCTACTTTTCGTTTGGGACAGCTTTCTTATAGCTTTGTATATCAATTTTTTAGCTGCGTTTGAGAAGACTGGGGTTTTTTTTTTGGATAACTTTCTTATTGCTTTCTAAAACAGTTTTTTAGTACAAAAATTTTTATGCTAAAAAAATAGTAAAAGATGCATGAAACCTAGCTTGCTTATACTAAAATACTAGTAGCATATACATGTATTGTCCTTTGTATAAAGAGATCAAATGCATATGATGATCTCATTAAGGTTTCGTTTGGGACGATTTTTTTACTGCTTTAAAAAGTTATTTTCAGTACAAAAATCTCCTTAATTGAGGGAAAAAATAGTGGTCTAAAACTATCTCAAACGAAACATAAGACTGTAGCATATACAAATTTGCAATTGCTCCTCCCTCCACATTGTGCCTCCCTCATGTTTCTATTAGATTTCAATATTTTCAGGTCAGTAAAATATTGATAAAAAGTTGAAAATGCATATGACAGTCATTTTAAGACTTTAGCACATTTATGTTTGCAATTGCTCCCTCAATATATTTGCCTCTGTCATAATTTTATATTTTGAAAATATGTTCATCTTCAGCAATATAATATAAATGATATTAGAATCATACTAACTAGTTAATTAGAGTTAATAAATTATTCAATCCTAGAAATTTGGATTAGAATTGACCCGTTTAATAAACATTTCAGGTTTGGATTGAATTTGCTGACATGTTTATTAAATAGGTCAAATTAAGGTTGACTAGGGAACCTATTTTTGATCCGAAAATGACCCACTTAATTTTTTTATCTTAATTTATTTAAAATGTAGGTATATTTTTCTTATTTTTTTGTTAAATATACTAAACTTTATAGTTAATAAGTTAGAAAAAAAATTTAACCAAAATGGATAAACGGGTCAGGTTCGAGTCATTTGAGTTGCTAGCGGCTCAAGTTTGGGCTAGTCTTTTTAACTCGTTTATTAAACAGGTTGAGTTCACATTGTCTTAATTAGGGTCGAGTCAATTTCGGGTCGAACCCAAACCCAACATGTAAATCAATTTTGACACCCATAAATTGATATAAAAAGTTATAATTAGACCTCAATTTATCAACTAAATTGACATCAATTGGATCTCTGAAGCACATGACTAACACATAATCAACACATAATAATGCTAAGAAATTCAAAATCATTAACTATTTTTTATGAGTTAAAAGTAGTGTTAAGGAGCAAATCCAATAAGATTAAACAACTCAATCAATCACCCTCAACTCACCTTTGTTAATTGAGGATTGGAAACCTAAT